AATGTTTCAAAAACCTTGCAGAAAACACTAAAATCTCGTTGGCTTATTTGAGTACAAGTGTTATAGATGTATGTTCTGCCATATATGTATGTAATACTCCTATAATGGCAGTAAGAGTGAGAAGTTAGGTTACTGGCATGCCAATATAGAAGTATTACATATATGTTACTACGTTTATACGCACGTATTATTTGCAAATAATATGCAATAATTGCAAAATGGTAAACTTTGCCGTATATACGCTGAGTTAATTTTTTATTTCCAGATAACTAAATCACGCAAATAAGTATTGATTAGTGGTACTATTTGCAAATAAGCGCAAGACGTCGCCATTCTTGGGTTTATTTTCCTTTTCGATGGTCATCTTATTGCCTTTTTATAATCAGGCAATATTAAAAAAGAATTTTTCTCCATCGAATAAACAGTGAGTTAGGTATTTGCAAATTACTTTTATTTGCAAATAGCTTATGTACGTATAAACGTAGTATGTGTTCTGCCATATACAACAATATGCGTCACGCATTCTTAAAGGCAATTAACTTAATTTTTATGTTTTTTATTTTGGGGTATAAGTAAAAAAAAAGGGGCCGTTGAGCTAGAAAAGAATGTTGTTGGATGTTGGATGTTGTCCGTCCCTTTTCCTTGGGTTTAATGGTATAAATAATTTTTAGTGGAAATTAGGGGGGTAAAAGTGGAATTTTCAATATTTTTCAAAGCTTATATTTTGAAAACTACTGAACCGATTGTGGATGATTGGAAAGATAAATGAAAGAGCTTTCACTTGATATGCATCGAAATTAAAGGTATTCTGATAAACATCTTTTAATATTGTTAACTACATATATTTTTTAGAAAAACATACATTATTATTAAACAAGTAAGAGCAGCGCTGTCTTCGGCTATGCCGAAGGCTTCATACCTTTCATGAACATCTGCAAATTTTACTTTGACAGATTACTGCTTTTGAATACATCTGCATACATCGATAGAGGAGTTACATACTTATATAAAAAATCGCATCTAAACAATCAGAGGTATGGAAGATATACTTTATATGACACCAATCTAAGTGATTTTCACCGCTATGTGATCGGTATGTAAACCGGTAACACAATTTATTGGGTTTAGTTTCCTACATAAAGGAGATATATCGCAAAAACTGGTATCTGAACAATCAGTGCTATAGGAGATAAAGCTTATACAGCATAGATTTTGACGATTTTCTCAGTAGACTTTGTATTATTATTTATAAAATATCTTACGAAATTTATCGGTTTTAGCTGTTCAAATAAAGAAGTTTTACAGTAAAATCCCATATCTGAACAATCAGATGTATGGAAGATATATGTTGTAGTCATCCGATCCTTGTTATTTTCACTGTAAGTATTCTGTTAATAATGAGTGAAAATGGTGCGAAATTTCATGTTCTTAGCTGCATAAATGGAGGAGTTATGATAAAAGACCTCATATCTGAACAATCAGTTGTATGGGGGCTGCAGGTTATAGTGACCCGATCTTTATTATTTTCGAGGTAAGTCTTCTGTTGATAATGAGTGAAAACAGCGCGAAATGTTATGGTCCTAGCTACATAAATGGATGAATTATAACGAAAAATCTCATATCTGAACAATCAGTTGTATGGGAGCTATAGGTTATAGTTACCCGATCTTTTTAATTTTCACTGTAAGTTTTCTGTAGATAATTATTGAAAACAGTGCGGAATTTCATGTTCCTAGCTATATAAATGGAGGAGTTATAACGCAAAATTTTATATCTGAACAATCCGTTGTATGGGAGCTATAGGTTATAGTGACCCGATCTTTGTAATTTTCACTATAAGTATTCTGTTGATAATGGGTGCAAGTATTGCAAAATTTCATGTTCGTAGCTGCATAAATGGAGAAGTTATAATGAAAAATCTCATATCTGAACAATCAGTTGTATGGGAGCTATATGTTATAGTGGTCCGATTCTTCCGGTTCCGACAAATGATTAATACATTATAAAAATACACCCACCTACCAAATTTGATCCGGATATCTCGAAAACTGAGAGACTAGATTGCATACAAACAGACAGACAGACGGACAGACGGACAGACGGACAGACGGACATGGCTAAATCAACTCAGCTCGACGTTCTGATCATATAAGTATACATTTTCATGGGTCTATCTCTTTTTGTTCTGGTACTTACAAACATCGGACCAAAGTTATAATACCATTTCATGCTCATGAAAGGTATAAAAAGGGGCCATAATTTCGTTTTTTTTAGTTTTTCTCAGATAATGTATACATTATTTGTACACATATACATTTAAAACAAAAGCTTTTTCAATTACCTTTCCAACCATAATGTTTTGAAAATCGGTTCAATAGTTTCCGGAATATAAGCTTTTGAAAATATTGAAAATTCCACTTTAACCCTCCTAATTTTCACTAAAAAGTGTTTATGCCATTAAACTCAGGGAAAGGTGCGGACAATATCAACTTTTTTTTCTTTTCTAGCTCAACGGCCGCGTTTTTTTTACTTCTTCCGATTTAAGGAGATAATTTTACAACAAAATTTTGTTTAGCTTTTCAGTCCAACCCGTGACACAAAAGTCAACTCACTATATTCCTGAATAAAGTTAAGTAAGCGTTTTTTGTGCCTGATAGTTAATCATAAATAAGTGGATAATGGACGGATTTTATTAAAATATAGCTCATCTGTTTAAATTATAGTTTAATTGCCTTCAAATCGCTTTAAAATTCTTCAAAGAAAACTTCCACTTCAGAAAGACAAAACTAAAATTATTGTTTAAGCTTGATGTGTGCTTCACAATTTTTTGATAGAAAAAAGCGAGTGGTATAGAAGAAATATGGAAGAAATAGAAATTGAGGCCGAAAATAATACTTCTTCCAGAAACTTCAGCATTTATGGAAGTAAGTTTGAAAACATTAGAAAGGAATTAAAATATTTTTTTTTGTTCGGAAGGGAAAATATGATTATATTTTTTGTCCAATAAAAATTAAGTTTTAATGAAAAATATCGAAAAAAAAATTATTTTCTCGTTGGCATAAGTAAGTAACGAATAACTTAAAATCAAATTGAAATTTTTTTGCAATTATCTATAAAGTTTATAGGAAGGAGTTTCTATTTTGCTTGTTGTGACAGAATTAGCAACGCTGTCAAGTTCGGCAAAGCTCCTGCGGTGGCATCTCAGCAGAAACAGAGTTTTAGAAGGTGAAGACGGAGGGCGGACGTGTTGCTGTTACCTGCTATTCCTTGTGACCGGCGGAGGGGAGGCAGAGGCTGAACTATGGGAAATTTGACCCTAACTAGAAGTAGTGGCCTTGCCGCACAAAAATTAACCCGTAATGGTCACACCTCCAAAAAATAGCGCAATGATCACACGGGGTCCAGTGGACCCCAATCCAATAAACAGATGCCTCGTACGTTCTATTTTAAATATCGACTCGAATCCTCCACTGACCTTAAGTTTTAAACTTTCTCTTTGTTATCTGACAGATTTCTTTCCAACTTTTAAATTATAACACCGTGAATTATTTCATAAAACTCATGATTTTGTAATAAGTAGTTACCTAAGAAAAATTATAATTTCTTTAATATCGCACAAAATCGCAGTATAAGATTATGAGGAAATAAGAGATCAGGGACTATTCTACCGATTTATGATACGTTTTTTTAAACGGTTTTAAACATTTTTTCAAAACACTAAATAAACTTTTTTTTAAATTGTACAACTTCACTTTAAAATCACTTAAATGCGGACGTTTCTTTGGCACAACCTTTAAACTATAATAGAAGTTTTAATTGGTAAATATTCTACTAACCGTCACTCTTTCTTTCCACTTTTCACTTTTGAAAAGCAGCAAATAGATTACGAGATACACGCATTTGAAAGTGGGACAAAATCAAGCTACTCATTTTTCTTTTACAGAAAATTTCGAAACTATCTGTTTGAGGGTTACCAAATCAACGGTAAGTCAATTTATCAAAAAACACAGTTTTTTACTCTGAAATATTCTCTGTAAGATAAGATAAACAATATTAATTTCAAGCAAGTCAAGAAATTGACTTTAGGCTCAAATTTCCCATAGTACTCTGGCAAGACGCGAGTAACAATCGCCCACAACCTGTGGTGACTCCATCCGAAGCAAGAATTGCACCGAATCGAAGTGGAGATGGAATGGAGTTTTCCCTGGCAGACGCAGCAGAAATATAAGTACTTCTGTGGGTCTACTCTTTATTGCGATCGTAAAGTTGATGCCCACAGAAAATATATGGTCGGTATTAAAAATGGGCGAAATCGGTCGATAACCAAGGTAGCTAATAGTTCGGCGAGCTCGGTAAAGAGGATGGATCACAGCAACAGTCTTCTTAGGGCTCAAAACTGATGTATAATAGCGTTATACCTAATGTTCGGATCTTAGCGCTTCATCGCTTGTTTTCTTTATTAATAATGAAAAAGTTCAGTTTTAGCTTATTTATTTGCGCTATTTTATTGTCACGAACATGTCTTACAATTTGATTATTCCTGACGATCCAGTACAACAGGTGTAGTAATAAGAGCGAGAAGAAAAAAATTACACTATCTTATTTGAAAATTAGCTTGAAAAAAATTTCAATAAGATACGAGGGTCGTATGAAAACTACCCGGCCTTGAATAGAATAAAACAATTTTTTTAACGAAATTCAATTTATTTTTCAACATAATCTGCTTTTAGCTCGATACACTTAAGCAAACGTTTTTCCCATGTTTTGATCCCTTCCGAATAATAGGTTTTCTCCAACCCTTCAAAATAAGCATTTGTTGCTGCAATTACTTCATATTTGAGCTAAATTTTTTCTCGCCGAGCCATTTTTTAAGATTAGGAAAGAGGAAAAAGTCACAGGGGGCCAAATCTGGAGAATACGGTGCATGAGGAAGCATTTGGTAGCCTAATTCATTGAATTTAGACATGGCTACGACACATGTACACACACGAGCATTGCCTTGATGAAAAAGAACTTTTTTTTTCAACAAATGTGGACGTTTTTCCTCAAAGCCTTGTCAAAATCACCCAATATTTTGCAGTAGTATTCGCCATTAATTGTTTTTCCTTTTTGTAGGTAATCAATATGTATAACCCCACGCGCATCCCAAAATACTGTGGCCATAACCTTGTTTGCTGATAATATCGCCTTTGCCTTCTTTGGAGCTGGTTCACCACGACGAGTCCACTGTTTTGACTGTTCTTTGGTCTCTGGTGTGGAGTGATGAATCCACGTTTCATCGACAGTTACAAATCGACGCCAAAACTCCTGGGGATTTGCGTTTAACATTGATAAACAATCATTTGAAATGGAAACACGTGTTTGTTTATGGTGTGTTGTGAGTAATCGCGGCACCCATCTTGCGGAAAGCTTTCTCATATCCAAATGATTTTGCAAAATGTTATTAACCCGTTCAATTGAAATGCCCACACTCTCACCAATCTCACGCACTTTCAATCTTCGATCACTCATTACCATATCACGGATTTTTTCAATCATTTCTGGTGTAGTGACCTCATTTGGACGACCTGAACGTTCCTCATCAAAAATGCGTTTAAATTCAGCTACCCAATATTTTACAGTTGTTAATGACGGTCCAGAGTCTCCATAAACTTCGTTAAATTCCGATTTAATTTCGTCGTTTGTTTTCTTTTTCAAAAACAAATATTTTATCACTGCTCGATATTCAATTTTTTCCATGTTGACAAAAAGCACAAAAGTAACTCAATTCTAACACGTATAAAATTTGTTGTAAATGTCATATCGCTGAGAAATTTTGACACGTGTTATTTGAAGAGTTGTATTTTTTAGCAAAACATTTTTTTTAGTTGTAGCAGCGCCATCTCTATTCAAAATCGGGTAGTTTTCATACGACCCTCGTAAGTCGAATGTCAAGAAAATACAGAAAATAAAGCGAGAAAGCTCCTGTTTTTAATTTTATCATGCTGAAGATCAAAAGTGAGTGCATGGTTATTTTTGTTAAATATTTGAAAGGTTTTTTAAGTTAAATTTTTTTTGTTATTTTTTAAATATGGTTCATGCTATTTTCCTTTCAAGTCGGGAGGTAACCTGAAAGTCAAGTCAAATAGCTGATCATAGTTATGGCCCCGCATACACAGGGATGCTTTTGACTGACAAAATGCACAGAACGGAACAATCAAAACGTTGCCGCAAACAAAACGGCTCAATTTGATTGGTCAAAAATCAGCTGGTTCGAACTTGTTCCATACATTTTTGTGGTTGTTGTTGTTTCGCTGCATATGCGTGCGTCAAAAGTTGAGGATTGGGCAAATTTTAACAGTTGCGGCAATGCATGCGTTGCCAATGTGACGTTTTCTGTTCAAAATCACAGAGTTTACTTAGATGTCAGTTAAAAGCATCCCTGTGACGCAGACACGAGTTTCTATCTGGCGGGGCCTTTAGTCTGTTCCCGTACTTCGAGATTTAGTCGAACATAGCCAGGGAGATATTACTGCAGGTGTTATAAATATGTGTGCGGGCGAGATTTTAAAGTGGTTGCCTTAACGACGGCATCTTGAAAGTAAAATTGATTATCAAGTTGCGTGCGGCCTGCGTCACAGCTGTCAATTCAAATGAATTTTGACAAGCAGTATGTGTGATCAATTTGAAACCAAGTTCTTTATCGTGTATCTTCATAATAAAGTTAGAGCAGGATAGACCAGCTGTCAACAAAACAATAGATCCAGTTAGAGCAACTCAGATCAGAAATCTTTGTCAAACCTACAATTCTTATTTCGCCATACACCATGCAAACACGACTCGTCGAAGCAAAAAAGTCTTAGTTTTCTTCCGTTTCACAATGTTAAAAATTATTAGGGCTGTTCAGGATGTTGTGGAAACGGTCTTGGATTTTCTGCCACGGCAACGGTGTGCATTTTATTGTTGTGAATTTACAAATGCAACGAATATGCAAATCCAAGAGAATGTGCACAAGATCCCGAACAGCCCTATTGTATTCTTCCATATTGCCCTCTTACGTCCTCACTCGCTGAAAATTCCATTGCAAATAAGGCGAATTTATCATTCACAACGCAATTGGTTTGACTAAACGTGAAAATGGCAGCCAGAAAATCAAAAAAATTTGATTTTTGTTCAAATTTCCCTCAAACGGCTTGTCAAACCTTTAAACACCCCCATACACAACACAAATGGCTTGAAGCAAAGGGATATTTCGCTTGCTTTGTCAGGCCGCTTGCGTTGTGTACTTCACTCTTTACTCTTATGCATTATGACTTTCGGTAGCGGGCGGATCTAAAATTTAATAAATACCGAACGGCTCATCAGCACGGTTGCCATTTTGGTCCAAATGGACCAAATTTGGTCCATTTCTTTTCTTTTGGTCCATTGGCCCAATTCTTTCTAAAATGGTCCATTTCACAAGACTTTGGTTAGGTTATTATCTTTCACTTTATGCAATAGTTTCGCGTTTTCAATTTTTTATATTTAATTGATGAATATTCCTATGATGAATATCGTCATCGTCAGTAAGAGTGACGATACGGCCATCATCAGCCATGTTACTTGTGCGCTGACGATCGTCGACGATGACGATGGAGATATTCAGCATAGGGCCGATTGGCAACACCTGCTTAAAGTGTGAACTCGCCTTGCCACTGATCTTCAAATATGGCATGGCTAATCATCTGTCAAAGCACGATTCAAAAAATATCGCGGTTTCTTGCTAATTTCAATTACTCGGTGACCAATATTAAAGTAGCTAGCAAAAATATGGAAAGGTAGAAAAACTTTAATCATATCGTTTAGCACATGAAAATAATATTCGATTAGAATCGAAAAGATATTAAACCTCTTGAGATTATTACACCACATAAAGTTCTTTCTGATACTGATGTTTAAATTTTGACGCTACTCGACCAATTTCCTGCATTGGTAAATGATGTAGACATAACTGAATTTCAATTTCGCAAAATGAGGCTGAGTGGAGGTAACTTCAAAAACTGTACCAATATAGAACGTTTTTGGGACCAAGTGAGTTTGATTAAAAATGGATTGCGTGAAGCGGCCTTCGGAGAATTGTGTGATTTAGTTCATAACATGTTTGGTCTGCCTCACAGTTTCTCAGCAGCTGAGCGCAAATTTTTTAAATTAGCATTAATAAAAACGAAATTAAGAAACAAATTATAATTTAGAACTTTAAATAATATAATGCTAATAATATACAATTGTAATGCACTTTGGATAAATACAATATAAAAAATCTTCATAAAAACTGAATGAATTTTTCTTGATAAAGAGGAATAAACTCCACTCAGCTTCCCGATGTAATAAAAATTGGTAAATTTTTTACCATTTGGTCCATTTTTTGCTCCAAAAAATAAATTGTAAATGGCAGTTTACCAACTACCAGAAAAATTATCGAGTTTGCCACCACGGTAATTCTGTGAATAATTTTATTTTGACAGCAAAAATTCAAAAAACTTGCAACTTCAGCTATCATTTTCGCTCTCCCAATTTCCCCTACTTTGCAAGTTTTTGCGTACAAAAGCGCCAAAACATGAAAACTCGTAAAAAATTTTAGTGGATCTTACTGGAAAGAGGGAAAAACACAACTAATACAAAGTTATGTAATTTGACACTCCGGTATCTAGATTTGTATTTTAGAAGTACGGAGAAGTGGAAGAATGAGATCGTTTTTTGCGAAAATGGTACTAGAAATAATAAATATACTTTTCATACAACTACCACATAGAGTTTCAGCACCAGCGCTAAGGGAAAAGATGGCCAACTCCCACCTTTTTGCTCGCGTTGACAATAAGCTGGTTTAATATTTATTTTCTTTCGTTCAAAATCGAGTTTTCATGCATAAATATAAAATTTAATTACATTGCTGATACTTATAAAGCTAAATACATAAAATCTACAGCAATTTTGACAGTAAAAAAGCATTGCCAAATTATTTTCTCGGTGTTCATTGTGGCATACCTTTGCGTCTTGCGTTTTGCTGGCAAGGTTATCTATGTCACGCAAAGTCACAAAGTTATATCTGGCATCAGCTTTATGGCCAGTATGCAGCTCTCAAGAAAAGCAAATACTCTATATAAAATGATGTACAAGAAATGGCTAAGAAATTTTCTTGAGTAAAATTTCCTTAAGGCAGTACGCAGTTCTAAAGAATTTTGCTACCCTTTCTACTACGGTTTTCTAAATTTTTTTGTGAAAAAAGTGCACAAGGCAACCCATGTTTGCAACAGAAATATATGCCCGTTCCATTATTTCTTGAGGAAAGAGTGACTCAACGGGCTGTGAAGTATCAGATGTCAATATTCCTTGGACACACCCACGAAATACTTAGGGCCAGTTTTTCAGTGCACGGTCGTGGTTTAAACTAAGTTTAAACGCCCGATCTGGCTGGTTTATACTAAGATCAGCCAATCAAATGTCAGCCAGCTGTTGAATTTAAACTCAGTTTACTTAAGGCTGGTTTTCATTAGGTCAAAATCACTGACATCAAAAACTGCCTTCATCTGACAGCTGTTCATTTGATGTCAAATGCGTTTTAATTACATTTTAAAAACTGATCAAATGTCGATACCGCAGTGCATGTCAAAGACTGTTGTCAAATTTGAGTGTCAGATGATTGACATTCCGTTTTCATTACTGATGTCAAATGTGATGTTAAATTTTTACAAAAAGTGTAGAATACCGACCTTTTAGCTGTAGGCAAACCAAAAATGTAACTAATTTTTCGATATTTTGAAATATCAATATTTGATGAACTACATAACCGATTAAACTACTAATGATGTCAAAATAAAGGTGATTAGTTTATTTTTCAGTTGATGTACATAATTTTTCTGATTTTTTATATTTTTAAGTCAAAAATTCTAAAAAACAAAAAAATTTAATTTTTTTATTAAATTACCTATTTTGAAGAAAATTGCATAATTAATGCTACAGAAATGTATATTATTTAGAAAGTACAAGTTATTACTTTATATAGAAAGGTTTGTTATAGGGCAAAATTTAACGAAAGTAGTGGTGAAAATCGAAATTGTATATAAATTTTTTTAAATAGCGTTTACCAAAAATTTGTTTTAAAAATGGTTATAGTAAATAGGTCGTAAAAAAGCTTGTAGAATTATATTTGAATTGAAATCAATACTTTTCTAATCGGTGAATTAGTTTCCGAGATATTAAACATAAAAAATAGGAAAGTTTTAACCCGTTATATTTTCTGTTTTTTACTTGCCCCATATAATTTGGATATGGTTGAAATCAGCGTGAAAAGTTCTACCGATCTGCATTTTTGGTTTTTTTGTAACTAAACGGTCCGTATTGTAGCTAGAATCAGCTGTTCGCATGGCAAACGAATACAAAATTGCCAACATGTTGGCAAATACATTTTGGTTGTCAAATGCTGCCACATCAGCGGCGAGAGCCGTTTTCATTTGGATGTCATTTTATATGACCGTACGTGGTGATATATGACAACAAACGCAAATGGCTCCAGATGACAACCCGTTTTCATTGTTTTGACAACATTTGACGTCAAATATGACCTAATGAAAACCAGGCTTTGATCTAAATTTAAACTGGCACTGATAAACTGGCCCAAGGCGAATTTATACAAGGTGGTGTTGACGGCGAATTTAGATTTTCGCCGCGGTACTTCCTAATGTCAAAATGATGTGTTTGTTGTAATATGAATTCGCCTGGTTTACAACAAACACATCATTTTGACAGTAATAAGTACCGCGGCGAAAATCTAAATTCGCCATCAACACCACCTTGTATAAATTCGCCTTGAATTGGCCCTTAAGGTC